TATAGGGAAATAGTCTGATTTAAAAAAAAAGTATATCCAATGAAAGATGTATATAAATACTACTTCTCATGAAAAAATTGTATTGATCCATACGTTTTTTAAAAAGTTATAGCACTTTAAAGTAAAAAATGTCAATTATAAAATCAAAAATATTCACACAAAAATAGCATTCGGTAGCCGTTTTCACCATGAAGACAAGTCCAGAGGTCAAATTTTTTTTTTTTAAATTAAAGTATATTACATTAGCTTTAATTTAAGATATATATAAAAGTGTCAGACCTTCCGGAACATTTTCAAAAGTTAAGTTGAAAAAGTTAATTTTTTGTGAAAAAGTTGTCATTTTAAATCCCCCCCTGTGGACAGAAAAAAGGTCAAATTTACAAAAAAAATATTCCAAATGATAGGTAAAGACATCAAGCATCTATATAAAAAAGAATTATATTAGTATGTTCATTTTTGAAAAAGTTACGGCAGTTTTTAGTAAAAAAAATTGAAAAAATTTCGAAAATTAGCGATTTTTAAATTTGTAATTTTTTTGGAGGTTTCCCCCATTTACGGGGAACGAGGGAAATTTTTTCAATTTTGANCGAAAATTAGCGATTTTTAAATTTGTAATTTTTTTGGAGGTTTCCCCCATTTACGGGGAACGAGGAAAATTTTTTCAATTTTGAAGGGTAATGTCTTCGACTAGATACAATTTGTGATCTTTTGACATATTGTTCATCAAAATCGGTCCAGCGAGAGCTGAGATTGAGCGTTCACAGACACAAAAAAAAAAATAAAAATAAATAAAAAAACACGTCATAGTAAAATTAATACCTTCTAAGCTTCGCATCGAAGCTAAAATGTATTTATTCCCTTATTAAATAACCTAATGGTAACAATGTAGTAACAATCAGGTCATTTTTCCGGGTATGTATCGTAAAAAGAAATGGTGAATAGATTAGTATTTATGTTGTAAAGGTTAAAGAATATTATCTTATGTAAACATGTATGTGTGTACTACGCTCTGATACACACTCAATGATTTCTATAGTATATAATGGCGAATAGTTTGTAAACAACTTTATTATTAAAAAAAAAACTCAGTTTATAAATGATTAGAGGAGTACACATAGCTGAAGGAGTGCATCGGCTGTGTTGTAGCTCAGTGATTTATCTTAAACATAAACAAGTAGTGAGAGGAGAGGGGTAGTATGCTATGAGAGAGTACCGATATGAATGTCAAATTAATGGTCTCGTGGCAAGCGGATGGAGGTGACGAAAAAAAAAATTTATAGCACTGTTTTTGAGTTGTGTGCAAATTTTGGGAAATTTGTATTACGCGGTGTCATGCTGTGGCTGATGATAGTAGTTATTGTTAAAAATGTTTGTATCGAGTTGTACACTATTAATACAACATTCACCATATATATATATATATAGTTTACTCACGAATAATTTTGTTGTGTAGAAAATGAAACAATTAAAACAAAAAATGAATAATCAAGACAAAGGTAAGGAATACATTAAAATGTCTGATATGATAGAGAATCATACCTATCGAGTTGTTACAAAGAAAAATTTGACAACGAGAAACGATGTTGTGGTGGTGGCACGGTAAACTTTTTTTTTTTTTACAATCAACAAAATCTATTTATATCTTATGATTTATGTACAACAAATTAAATTGAATTAAAATTATATAGTTCGTTCACAATCTATTTGTTTTTACATTATTACTCCGATAGTATAGAACCTAATAGTAGTTTATGACAAAGGTAAATTATACTTTAGATTGATATTATTAGATTAATAGTTTTTCAAATTGGTGGAAAATGTAAAAACAAAAATCACAATAGTCATACTTTAGAGTAGATTTTAAGAAAAACAAAAACTTATGTATTCTTGTAAAATTTCTATACTATTTATAATATAATTCGTTAACAGTTCAGTCGTGTTTACTCTAATAGTAAAAGTACATTGAACTGAATAGTTGATTATAGAAGTGGCCATACACACGTTTAACTAATGTATTAATTTTTCAATAGTTGTATCATGTCATTTGTGTGCGGTTGTAAACGACACGAGTACTTTTGTAAACATTGTTTAAATGCATTTACCAATCAACCGTTAAAGACTCAACCGAACGGACAAGCGAGGGTGGATGACCACATTAAAATGTGTGGAAAGTTCAAGTATTTACTTGTTGACGTAATGGTATGTTTTTTTTTTAAATTTATTTCTGAATCGTATGTCATAACTCTGTTGTTGATGTAGATACTGGCCGATGTGTTTAAAAAATTTCGAAAGGAATGTCTGATAAATTATAAACTCAATCCCGCACATTACATTTCGTGTCCGGCATTGTCGTTGAAGTACACTAACGCATATATTGAACTATTGACGGACCCGGTTGGGTTTGGTTGATGTTCGAAATGATTATACGCGGAGGTTTAACGCAAGTTAATCAGCGTTATGCTCGAGCAAACTACCCAGATGTCCCCGACTACAACTCCAACTTGCCTCACAAATACCTTCAGTATTTGGATGCTACTAATTTGTACGGGACAAGTATGTTTATTTAATGTAGTTTTATTTATATAAAAAAAATTTTTAATTTTCTATTCTTTTTTTTACAGCCATGATGGAACCTATTCCGTTTGGATATTTTGAGTGGTCGACCGCAACACTGGAAGAAGTACTGAACACCCCCGACGACGGTGATTACGGATACCTGGTGGAAATTGATGCATATTATCCTCGTGAATTGCATGATTTACCATTTTTTCCGGTAAACAAGGGATCACCATTGTCGTCTTCGAAACACAGCAAGTTGATGACCATGTTACAACCAAAACGTGGTTATATCGTGCACTACCGCGCACTAAAACTAGCTATGAAACACAGTGTGGTCGTAACAAAACTGCATAAATGTATAAAATTTATGCAATCCCGCTGGTTGGCACCGTACATTCAATTGAACACGGATTTGCGTAAAAAAGCGACCACCACATTTGGACAAAACATGACCAAACTGATGATCAACTCAAACTATGGTAACATATAATTCATTTTCCAAACTTTGATTGTATTTTTTTTTTTTAATTCTTTGTTTCGCATTCAACATGAAAAACATTGAAGAACGTACGAAAACACAAAAACATACAATTTGTGTGCAATCCGGAGAAACTGTCGAGGTTAGCGGCAAAACCGTCGTTTAGTCACACCACCGTATTCAACAAAAATCTGGTTGCCGTGCACATGTACAAGGAGAAGATCAATTTTTACAAACCCATTTTTATTGGCACAGGCCATATTGGATATAAGTAAATACATAATGTACAAGTTCCATTACGAGGTTATGATGCCGTTGCGACTCCTACTCTGATACATGGACACTGATAGTTTCATTTACCTGATAACAACCTACTGTTACCACGATGATTTGAAAAAGTACTCACTCGAATATTTCGACACGTTGAATTACCCGATCGACCACCCTTGTTACATTGATCAACGAAAAAACAACCGGGCACGTTTACTGATGAATGCAAGGGTAAGCATATGCAAGAATTTTATCGCATTGTTACCCAAAGTGTACACTTATTCAATCGCTATACAAAATTACTACGACAGGTTGTTGGTTACGTAGAAAACAGACGAGATGAAGCGATTGTAAGGCATGAGCACAGATGTGGTGAAACATGAAATCAAAATGGTTGACTATTTAAATATCTTGCGTGGTAAACTCAAGCAAACCCGCATTTTAAAGCATACGCACGAAACACCATAGTATTTCAACGGTTGAAATTAATGAACTCGCGTTGGTCAACAACAACAACTAAGATAAGCGGGCGTTAATCAGTGACGATGGAGAGTAAAAGGATGTGTATACAAAAGCGTGGGGACATTATTCCCAAGGCAATGACGACAACAACAACGACGACAACGAAAAAAATTAACTCAAAGTGTACATTAGTTTTATTTTATAAAATAAATCGATACATTTTTTGTAATTTTTAACCAATGTTTATAAAAATATGTGAATAAAACAATTACGAATTATCCGTTAACCATTGTTTCAAACACATTGCTTTATACAAGCTACACATTTTATGATTATTTATATGACGAATACATGATTGGAATTCCACATATAATTTTCGCAGTGGTGGACAGTTTTCTTCTATATCAATTACCCTCTGTCCGGGTAAATATTTTTGTAACACTTATTTTTTCTGTATACCTTTCGCGTAGATAGTATCGCACCTTAACAACGACATTATTCTCGGTAGTTCAGTGTATTCGACATTGCCAATGTTCGTGTCCAAGTCGTGATGGTACTTTTTTTAGCCAGTGTTACGTCGCTATTTAGGGGTTTAGCCTAAATGCCCGTCGTCAGTATTCTAAGGGACCAACGGGGGATAGCTGGCTAGGCTATATCTACCTTAGGTACTGAAGTTTCCTATTTAATTTATATTCCCTTAGAGGAACTACCAAGGGTCGCACTACAATATATATATATAAAACACTTTAGGTTAACAACGATATAAATAAATATTTATTAAACAATTGAAATATTAAATGGATAATACAACCTGCTGGACACCTAGAGATGACACAATCCAACAGGGAGCTGACGGCGACACACACACACACTCTAATATACGGGGTAGCAAGTTAAGTTAATTATTAGACAAGTAGTGATCGCGAAGATGGTAAAAGGTCAACTGTCGATAGGGATATCTTATTATGGCACATTGGCCGTGAATTGCAAAAAGTGTTTATGTGTGCAGTCCGCCCTCCTGTTAGTATTGCTGTATGTCACTGTGTTAATTATATATATATATATAAATATAAATGTCTATTAAACGGTACAACGATGTTATGGGAGACAGAGATATGGGCACATGCAAATGTGATCGTATCACCAGTAAGTTGTTTTCACATCGTCCTTGATGATATTTGGGTGTTTGCACACCCAGTAGACTATAGACATGGACTCCAGGTCTATGACGGTCATTTCTTTTACCAAGAACGAATGGTCGGCAGCCACCAAGCCCTGAATGTCAACAATCATTGCCGTGAGAAATCTGCTTTCGGTATCCATGAGTTGTGTTCCGGGCCAAAACCCTACCACTTAACGTAGAACTGGTCTCCACGTGTGCGAAACACCCGTTCTACTAAATACGTGTCCGGATACTGCGTCCTGTTCAACTCTTCGGTGTAAAATACACCCTGAATGAGTCCTTTGATGTTTACTCGTGTTCGAGTGTACGTTCTTCGGGCCGGTCGATGTAGTTCGTACGCAATTTTCGGTTTCATAATGTAGACGGTATGTCGGCAATGTACCCGGCTTCGTAAAGTTCTTCTAGTATGGAAACAATCCCCGGTGACACTCCAGTGTTGCCAGCCGACTGAGCCGATATGAGCAGTTTCAAACGTTCGACAAGTTCATTGGAATCGTCCCAGTTTAAGTAATCTTTTTCACCGACTCTCAGCTGTAGTTTCGATCCTACGCTGCTGAACATTGGATCGATAACTTCATTGTATTTAGCACCCCCCTTTTTCAATGTTATATTTTTGTTTAGATGAGCTTCAATTTCCTCCAATATTGTCTTGTACTTTTCTAAATCTTCGTCGGTGAACACAACGGGGTTTTTCGAAAACAACAAATTTACTAGTCCAATCGTCAATAGGTGTTTTGTTCCATTTACACGAATAGAGTTACTGTCTACGGTTATAACGTTTGCATGACCCATGTTCAGCTTACCGTCCATATGCATTCTAGGACCGTATTGTTTATCACACTTGGAACATAATGCTAAACATTGATGAAACTAACAATATAATCGTTTTTGGATTGCCCGGTCAAGAATCCTCGCTGAAAGTAACACTGCCCGTTGATACGTACGAATTGGATGACTTGAACAAATATATTGCCAGTCAGTACGAGAAAATTGCCTTTGGCTGTACAATCGTTAAAAAGATAAAGATAGAAAAGTGACCTCGTCGTTCAAAATCGTAGTGAACCACATGACGATGCATTGTGAAATAATGTGTGAACATCCCATCGATTTCTCACATTAAAGATCATTTTGCCGTTTACTGAGTTTAAATCCTCGGTATTTGGAACCACATAAGACTCATGTATCCGGGTTATCCAGTGTTAATAACACCTATTACGTCTATTCGTGTGGATTGCAATATTATTGTGAGATCGTACCACAATATAAAACAATCACACACCTTACATGAGTTTTCTGCCAGCGTGCCACCAGGCTACCAAATTATAGAAGTTCCCAGGCAAATTGTTTACTACCCGTTGAACACAAATGTGTTGGATTCGATGCGAATCGTTCTATGTAATCAGGAAGGTTACCAAATAAATCTCAAAGACGAAGAATAATCTGTACGCTTGCAAATTAGACATAAATAGATACATCTCTCACTATTTGAACACATCGAGGATCGAATGGTTGTAACATGCCTTTGATTTTTAACAACAATCGTATGACCATATCATCATCATCAGTGAAGCCCAAGTCGATACGTTACGGTGGTGGTTCCATCAAACGGTCTTGGACTGAGAATCGAGCAAACTGTGTGACGCCGAGGAAACTGACGAGAGATAATATCGCATATCTAAAATCACTGGGCTGTCGCGTCGTCAAAAATGACAGAGTATCTACAAGTTTTGGAAAAATCCCCTCAAGACGATAATGTGAAACGGGAATATTATCTAAGCTACAACAACTCGTACGGGAACAACTGTGAGATTCGTATTGAATTGCACAACAAAGAAAAATTCACCATACCATGTGAAAGGAACTTGCAAATAGAGGGGGATATTACAAAACCCGCAGGAGCAGTTAATAACATTGTAATGAATCAAAACTGTATGATGAATCTTTTCGATGAAATTCGCTTCGAGATCAATAACAAAAAAATTGATAAGGTAAAAAATGTTGGTGTGACTACAACTATGAAAGGGTATTCGTTCACGCCCAACGATATCGTACGATTACAACCAGCCGGATGGAAAAACGTGAATGAATTATACGATGATGGAAACTTTATGGACCATTCCAAATTTGTAGTTCATAGTCCGTTGTCATTATGTATGGGATTTTTCGAACAGTATTGGCGTACACTGATCAACTGTAAGTAAACACTCATATTCATCCGGTCAAATGCTGACCACTGCGCCATAGAATTGGTACCACCTAAAGATGAAGCAGAAAAAGCTTCAGTGTTAACCGCAGAAAACATTGCGCTTATCAGACAAACCAAAGTGAATATTACAAAAATTAAATGTGTCGTGAAATACTTTGAACCAAATGTGAAAACGGAGTTGGGTCTGATGCGCATACTTGACAGCACAATATGGTTACCGTTAGAGTTTCAACATTGGGACACTGCTGTATACCCTCTCGTACCACAAACCACCACTCATACATGGCCAGTGCGTACGTTCTCGGGTGTTGAAAAACATAGGTACTTACTCGTAGCCATGGTCACAGATGCCAATAAACGGGTAAACGATGAATTTAATCATTGTTTCCTACGTAATATCAAGGCATACTTGAACGCTGACGAGTACCCGTACGAAAACCAAAATGCAGATTTCGACAAAGTCAAGTTCTCGACATTTTATAATTCGTACGCACAATTTTAAACAATGTACTATGGAAAGATGAACCCATACCCTTTTTTGGATCAAATCAGCTACAAAAAAATCGGGTCTATATTCGTAATCGATTTTTAAAAACAAAGCGATACCGTCAAATCATCCATAATTGATCTACGTATTCACTTTGAATGTGCAGAGCAATTTTCAGCTAAAAATTCACTGTACTGCGTCATCATACACGACTGTCAAATGGAATACAATGCATTCACCGGAGAAGTGCGCAAATTGTAATAATATAAAAATCAGTAGGATACAAAATAAAAATGTGCATATAATATATACGTTTATTTAAAATAATATTTTTGTATTTATATATATAGACATAATGTAATAATAAATAACGACAATAAACTATTTTTTTTATTGACATTTAG